TATATATATATATGTGTGTGAAAAAGAGCAAATTTGAAAATGATAAAAGTAAGTCTGTTACTTAAATTTTCTTACGAAACGTCCAGTCATCGACGGGCTATCCGTTTAAGAAAGGGCTATCTGAGAAGCGAAAAGATGTGGTAAAACAAACATCCCTCCGCATCGTGATCGTGTTACGTTTTCTAAGAGATCCACGTCAGTCCATAATCCCCAAGGCAAATTCGGACGGAGGTGAATTCTGTTCTGGTACGCGGTATGCACCCTTGGGAAATTGAAAACCAACTTTTTAGAGAATGAGACTTCCCTGCCAACAAGCTGGTCTGCCGCAATCATCCATGTGAGATTTTTCTCCTCCATTGTGTCCGGGTGTGGCTGCAGGTCTTCCGCGCGACGTCGCTGAAAGTCTTTCTCGCTCTTTCTCTCTCTCTCTCTCTTTTATTCCTGCTCTTATTTTCTCTAGTCGTTATCTTCTTTTCTTTTATTTTTTTTTTTTTTTTTTTATCCCCCGGATAATGAACACGCTCGTGTGCCCGGAGACAAGTTCACGGATCGAAAACACGATGATTGAGTCTGCAGGAAACGGGGTATGTCTACCCCGCGCTGTTTACAAATTACGTACTGACTTCAGGACGGCCGCCGTCTAGTCGCACTTTGCACAAACACGTATCGCAAAAGTAATCCTGATCCAATCCAATCGATTATTCGATTTGTTCAACCGGAAACGAGAGCTCGTTAGTCAAATCGCTGACTCCCGACCGGCCGATTGTGCGTCAATTTTTACAACTGCAATTAATCATCCTTGATTTAATTGAAATAATAATAGACAATAAGTGGACGACAACGAGAGAGAGACAACATTTTTTTTCTTTTTTTTTTTTTTTCATCGACCTGCATGCAGCTTTCTTTCGAGCCAAAAGCGGGTCGGAAGGCAACGACGGAGAAACGATTTACCAATTTAGATCTCGCTTAATGAACAAATCGTGAAGAGAACGTGCACGCTAACGCGATTCCTCAATAATAATATACGATAATTACACGATCTTCTCGTGCTTGACGAGATCAATGTCATATCGAGATCGCACGCGATTGCGAGAATCGAGACAGATTTGACAACGGAAGTAGACGACGACATTTTATCGCCTGGCCCACACCTCCCAACAAACCCGTCATATCTGTTTCTTCCTTCTACTGTTTTTTTTTTTTTTTTTTTTCCTACTGTCTTCTATGTATAGATGTATTTTTCGGGAAACTTTTAGTGTAGCGTTTTTGTGTGGGGCAGCAAAAACAGCAGCGGGGTTGATAGCCGGGTTTCGTGCAGCACAGCTTGTCAGCAGGGTGGTGTACGTGTCATTCGTAAGAGATATTTTTCTCAACTACATCTTATTTACAAGAAACGTGACCACGTTCCATTTCCATTTCCACATTGTCTTTCTTTGCTTTCGATCTAATCGAATTGAAAGATTTATTCGGCAAGTGTATATAAATTATACGCAGTCCGCGTACGAATATCATACAAATTATTATATAACATCATCGAATGTTACAAGATCTCTTATTATTTTGCGTAATATATATTATTCAATTAATTTGTCCGATTCCGAAAATGCTATAATGCCATTAATAATGGACAACGGGAAAAGTATGAATGTATAAAAAAAAAAATAAGTCTTTCGATATTTCACGTTCGAAAGGAAATGAATCGTGCACATGGCTGCAAAAATATTTGTAATTATTATGACCTAAGTACCGAACAGGTGATTGGTGTATTGCAACTAGTTCTTTGCACCTGGATAGCTGCGATAGGCTGCTAGAAAGAGAGAAATAGAACAGTGGTGTTTTGGTGATGTTAACAAGAATTTTGCCTCGTGTACTACTCACTACACACTACGGAAACGGCTGAACGTCATACAGGAGATGTAAAATATGGACGAACACAAAAGCGACAAACATGGGACGAGAACTATATACGATCGTTGGGAGAAAATCAAATAGTAAGGAAAAGAAAGTAATTGCATCGTAAAAAGATTAGGAGATAATTGGAGGGGAGGGGGGGGGCAATTAATTCAGAGATAAGGGTGGGGAAGGTCGAAATAAACGTCTTTATGGTAGTTATACGAGGAGACGCTCCATCTTTCTTTATCATAAAATTGGCTGAAAAATGTAAAGGAAGCGCGTGAAGAAAT